ACACACACACACACACACACACACAGTGACAACCAAGCTCAAAGAAAACCCTGACTTCATCAATATGGTTACTGTCAGGAAGCTACAGGGGGCATTTATGTTCTACTCATTCTCATTCTGTGGCTAAAAATGAGCTTCTTCTTCTCCCAGCGACACCATGTCAATCATTTTTCTTCCATTCAATTCACTTCTCTTCCTCTATTTGCCTCCCTCTCCCGCCGGCAGAATCAGTGACCACCTTTCAGAGTCCTGCTGATGTTGGCCACCAAGCAGAGCAGCCTTTGTCGAAAGTCCAATAATTGTACACTAAAAACTAAAGAAACAAAATTAAATTAAAATTTAGATTGCCAAGAAACATTCTACAGAAAGAGAGGCAGAGTGAAAGAGAGGTGGGATAGAGGGAGCGGGGCAAAGGAGAAAAATAGGAGAAAGATGGAGAGAGGCAGAGAAAATAAGAGGTCTCTCCCTAAGGATACACTTGTCAAAAACCCCTACTTTGCGTTTCTGACTTTTGCGGCAATGAACAACAGTTTTCTCTGACAAAGCATTTTCCTGCTTATTTGCAGACGGAGGGAGGAGACGGGGCTCAAGTGGGAACGTGAGAAACTGAAAGGATGCAACAAAGGATTCGGAGCTAGTAAGCAGATAGCTCTGAAGGCCGCTAGGGGCTGGGTATGGGGGGGTGTTGGTGGGGGTGGGGAGGAGGAGGAGGAGGTGTGCGCTGGTGGTGTCTTTTGAAGAGAGAGATGGTTGAGGGAAAGAGAAAGGAGGAGATGGAGCGAATGAGACTGAGAGTGTGTGTCTCCTGTGTATGTGTTTGGGGACCCACACAGTGAGGCCCGAGCATGTGATTTATTTCAGAATACTAATGTCTCTTTGATCTGCTCTGCTTAAAAAAAAACACCCTGCTGGGATTGCGGGTACACACACACACACACACACACACACACACAGGCACACACTAACACACACAAATGCATATATGTATTTATCCACACACTCCCGCACATACCTATCAGTGTGAACACACACACACACACTCACTCCAGGGCGTCTAATCTACTTTAACTATCGTCCATAGAGATCCAATTACAAAGATAGAGGCATATTTGTTTTTCTCTGTGCATCCTAAAAGACTAATTAAATTTTCATGTAAAGATGAAATTATTTGATAAAACACAAATGTCTTTTGATTTTGATAATTGTAATTTAATATGTTTTAACCGGGAATCCTATGACTGTCTCTGTCTATTTCAGCTGTACCTCTAGGCCTGTACAGACAGAACAGTGACTTTCACTACTTACCTTTCTTTCTCGGATCATTCTATCATTATTCCAAGTTGGCCATGGGAGCCAGAATGTCCCAGTGTTCCCTGGGCAGGAGGTAATCGATCACAGGGCTAAGTTGAAACACAGACAAACAAATAGTGACTCAAAGCTCCGAATTTCCTGAGTTATTGTCTTGCACCCATAGACTATAAGTATTACTCTGTAAATATATAAACATAGACTGTATGTTTAGGAGATAGAAGTAGGCAAACAATAAGAATTTAATGAAAAAGAACAGAATCCCATTTACAGCTCTGAGTCATTTCCTGCCAATGTATAATTGTATATATAAAAATGTTAATTAACCATATTTCGTGAACAATACTACCCTCCACTGCAAGTCGTGATCTCTTGTGAAGGAAGCAGCACAGTGAAGAAAATTAACATCACGTCTGAACAATCCTAATATCCTGAGGTGCCATACGACATAAGTGTTGTATCTCCCAATGTCTCGAACCCAAACCAATTAAAACTGGATCACACAGGACAGACATGTTTACTTTAACACTCTCCAAGCAGACTGATAAGAGTTTCTCTTGAAACTTTTCTCTGTATTCTTACATCTTTCACACGTTTTATTTAGCAAGCAGCTTTTTAGAATGAAATGAAAAATTAGGGACACATTCAAAAAGTAAACAAATATATATATTTAATAATAATATATTTAAATTGTCAGCTCTGGAAAGCTGCTGAAAACTTCTAGTAGTCTAACTTTGGTCAGATATCTGCAGCAATGAGGAAAACTACGCCACAAAGCAACACAACAGACCCAGGAGTGGTTGGTGGAATGTCAATGGCTGTTGTCCGGGTTAAAAATGTTTTACGGTGTGTTTTCTCTCAACATGTCCATCCATTCTGCTCAGGCTTGAAATAGAAAGGGCTTTAGTAAATTATCTCCCCCTGCCAGCACCTACAGTGTCAGTTGATACATGGTATCTGTCTCAAACTCCAGTTCCTCCTTGATGAACACCTTCAACAGCCTCAGGGAAGTTAGCGCGTGCAGCTGCCGATCAGGCACTTCTAGGTTTTCCGACCCTCCTCCTCGCATCGAACAGCAGATGTAGCAGCTGGGTGATGCCACCTTTCATAACAGGCTGCTGCAGGGTGGCACCATGCACTCCAGCCGGTTATGGACTCTGATGTGTTCAACAAAGGTGTGGATTTTCTGACCTGACGTTTCAATGAGACACCTCAAAAAATGAGCTAGCACCTATAGCAGAGGATTTCAAAGTTTAAGAGCCCTGATATGTGGAGACCAAAACAGAGCAAGAAAGAGTAATGAATGTTGTTATCTGGCCAGCAACTTGAATTGCAAAGTGATGTAATAGATAACTAGCAGTTAATGTGTTAACAAATATCAATATCCTATCAACCTGTGATAATATGCCAGCGTTGGATTTTACTGCCAAAATAATGAATTGATGCAATAATGCAGCACAAACAAACAAACATAAAATGAAACCTACTACAGTTATTCATCCATAGACCTGTGTACACTTTTCAAGGGGACAGTAGCACTGTCGCCTCACAGCAAGAAGGTTACCAGTTTGAATCCCAGCTGGGCAGGGTTAGGTTTACTGGAGAATCCAAATCAAACATAGGAGTGAATGTGAGTGGGAATGGTTGTTCGTCTCTGTGTGGTGGCCCTGTGATACACTGATGACGTGTCCAGTGTCCCCTGGGAAGGGCTCTGTGACACTTTGCTTAGAGATTCATGAATGAAATTCTTGCATTGCTTCATGAAGCTGCACACCTTATTACCAAGGAGGTTATGTCTTCACCCTTGTCCAATTGTTTTGGCCTGTGCATACTGTATGTGAAATTGGTAGCAGCTTGAGTGAATTTAAGGGAACTGTTGGGTGCTCGACTGATAACCATCATAGTCTGATTTGAGTTCAGACTTTGATGAATGCACCCTGCACAGCTTTGAATGTTATTGTTTGTAACACCGTTGTTACTGACTCTACACCTGCATGTGATATTTGTGAAGAGTGTAATATTGACTGAGTCATGAGGTTTCAGCTGCAGCACTCATGAGTCAGCCTTTAGTCTTCAGAGCGTTTACCTGTGTGCAATAGAAAGCTTTCTTCATCTGCTTCCCCACTCTCAGCTCTATGGGGTTCGGTGAAGCACCAGGAAAATGTGGGAATCAGTTTACTGTGGAAAATAAAGCAGGGAGGCCAAAACACTGGTGGTCATACAGCATGTTGCTTTACGTCACGGATCTGTGACCATCACAGACTGTGACACCCTCCTTGGACAAGCAGGTGTCGGGCAGTGACTTTCAGCCTGAGAGATGCTGAAGCTCTCAGGCTTCCTGTGGATCTCTGCAGGAAATCTATTTCATTTACATACTGCAGTTTACAAAGCCGATGGCGCCATCTAGTGGTCTTTGTGTGACTAAACCGGAGTGGGTGGAGCTACGTAAGAGGATCGTGATTGGACTAGCTGTGGTTTCTGTTGTTTAGTTTCTCAGGAAGTGAGAAGGCCAAGATGGTGAGTGAGGAGTTGCTGCTTCGTCTCAACGACAGTGAGTATAAGAACTGGCTGAAGGCAGGACGGTGTCTGCTCATTCTGAAGAGTGGCCTCCATCCATTCACCAGCCAGCACATGAGAGGTTTCCACAGAGATCTGCTCACACACAGCCCGGGGCTCAGGAGGCCCTGTGAGACCAATGCATGCAGACCCAGAGGGAACAAGGTGAGATCAGCCTGTCATGTTAAGACATGATTTGTCAAGTGATGCATTAAAGTGTCAGTGGATGATTGTATGGTTTTACAAATGTTTCTCACTTCGGACTAATGTTACTTTTCCAGAGCATGAACTTTCTCCAGGAACTGAGAATCTTTGCAGGAAACAGGGTCTGAGTTATGTTCCAGACAAAGCTCTTTTTACCCCTCAAAATATAATCAGGGGGATAGCACTTGTTTTTGCCAGCTTTAACCTTTAGTAAAATTGCATTTGGTCTCTTAATGGATGAGAGTAATTTGACCACTTGCCTGAGATTCAGTACGTTTTTGAAAGAATT